TATTATTTTATTTCAGTTATTTTATAACATTTATTAGTTTTTTATGGTATGCATCCAATCGATTTGATTTATGTGATGTATTTTGTACCCATAATGCACAAAGATTTGACTAACCGACAGGAAACCAGAGGCCAGTATCACGCAGGTAGGAGCTCAGGCCTTTGCGCGTCACACCTGGCTCCACCGTCACATCAAAATCCTCTTGGTGAAGATCAAGGACCTGGTCCATCCTTCTCAGACTGAAACACACTCCACCCTAACAAATACGTCAAATTGTGTCATAAATTGGCATACAAAATTTGAGGACTTTTTATATACATTCTTGGATGTTTACGAAAGAAAATGTATCAAAATATCTAAAACTAAGGTTAGGCTTGAACTCTAACACTGGCACAGTCAAATCCTCGTGTCTCTTTTTCTATACTGGACAAACCTTCAGAGCACCAACACCTCCCTCCAGGCCTGTCCCTGTGCCAAATGGGATCATGGGTAGTTGGTGGTGGTGACAAATTTTGGCAAGAGCACTGACTTCCTCTACAGACCGAGGAAACACCACCACATCTGGTGGTCGGCATCTGCAAGACAAAATACCATGAATATATAAAAAAAACTATATGCAAATCAAATTTAAATGTGATATAAAGTCATGATGAAACGGAAGTAGTGACAGATCTTATTGTGGCATCCATCTGAGTGTAATGGATTATTGAAAAAGAATAAAATATAAGGTTGCTGGTTTTATCCATCAGTTGTTGGTTGGATTTTGAGATGTGAGCATTGCACTCAAAATGGAGGCAGATAAACAAAAGCTTGCCGGGGCGGGGATTAAACGGAATAAATGATTGGAGAAGTCCTGCATAAGTTATCAGATGTCTGTCGTATTCACCGCATGATTATTTGTGTCTGGGAGAAAAGAGAAGAGGTGAAAATAAAGTTCCTCGTGCATGCTGAATGGACCCACTAGATAGTCGATCTCATATTTTACTTACTGCTTTTAATGATTGATTAGCAGTTGGTTTATTTGTAACTGTGGGTGGAGCTACTGCTGCACTGTTTACATATGATTAAGAAGCAGGTGACCCTCAGGTATTATTATAAAATACATTAAAGAAATAGGATTAATCAGGAGGATTTCGTTTTTTTATGTATATTAGTTGCTTATTAGTGCGTAACACTCCAGTCCAGTTGGTGGCGGTAAATGCACCAGAAGTTGGTT